GAGAAAATAAAGATAAAGATAAATAAGACACAAAATTTACGTGAAAAATCCTTAAATAATATAGGGTAAAAACCACGGGCAACGCTAGAATAATTTTACTATGAGAAAATAGGAATTACAACTTCTCTCAATCTACCAAGGAGAAAACAATGACAATTCTCTCTTGATAAAAAGGAGAAAACAACTCTCAAGAAACTCTCTAAATTCTCTAGTATTGGGAGAAAGCTAAATTGATTTGGGATGATTTTGAAGCTAAATGGGTTAGAGTATTTATAGTTGAAGCTTAATGACTAACCTTGAAAATACTCTAAAGTACAATGATTAAATGTGAGATTGTACCATTTCCAAAATTCAACTAAAATTTCGGTGCATTAATTATAAGCACTTTCGGTGCCTATATTGTTGACTTTTCAACAATCTCCCACTTGAAGATTTGATTGGAAAAATCATATATTCACATCATTCTTTCTACCTTGTACCATCATGTTGCTTACGTCTCTGACAGGCCACAAGAGGATCGACACCAAGTAAATGTATCAACATTTACTGCCTTTGTCATGAAATCTGCTATGTTGTCTTTGGTGTGGATCTTTTGTATATATACCTTCTCTTCTTCCACCTTTTCACTAATGAAATGGTACTGAACTCATATGTGCTTTGTCCTTGAATGAAATGTTGGATTCCTTGCTAGATGCAAGGCGCTTTGACTGTCACAAAAAAGAGAGACATACTCTTGATTGTGCCCAAGCTTCTCCAATAGCATATTCAACCAAATTGCTTCTTTATTGGATTGTGTAGCTGCTACATATTTTGCCTCTGTTGTGGATGTAGCCACAACTTACTGCAATTTTTAAACCCAGCTTACAGCTCCACCAGCAACTTTGAATACATATACTGTAGTATATTTGCATTTATCCAAATCCTCTGCATAGTCATAATCGACATACCCATTGTTAAGTAAGTTTGATAATCCGTAACATAATGCAATATTTGAGGTCCCTTTGATGTATCTCAAGATCCACTTTACTGTATTCCAATGCTCTTTTCCTGGATTTTCCATGTACCGACTAACCACTCTCACTGCTTGTGCAATGTCTGGTCTTGTGCATATCATAGCGAACATTAAACTTCCCACTTCTGATGCATAAGGTACTCGAGACATCTTCATCCTCTCTTCTTCACTGCTAGGACTCATACTGGAGGATAATTTGAAGTTAATAGGAAGAGGGGTAGAATTTAACTTACAATCTTGCATGTTAAATCGTGACAAGATCTTCTTCAAGTAATTCTTTTGTGAAAGCCAAATCTTCCGATTACTTCTGTCTCAGTGAATTTGCATCCCTAGAATATTGTTTGTTGATCTCAAGTCATTCATCTCAAATTCCCTAGCCAGTTGTGCCTTCAATTCTTCAATATGATCTTTGTTGGGCCCTGCAACCAACATGTCATCCACATACAATATCAATATAACAAAATCGTTATCACCAAATCTCTTGAAATAAGTACAACATGAAGTCTATTGTATCCAAGGCATATAATGAAGGAATCAAATATCTTATACCAACACCTCGGCGCCTGCTTTAGGCCGTACAAAGATTTTTTCAACTTGCAAACCAAGTTCTTTTTTTCTTTTTCTTCAAAACCTTCAGGCTGGAGCATGTAAATATCTTCTTCAAGATTTCCATGAAGAAAAGATGTTTTAACATCTAGTTGCTCTAGATATAAATTCAATGTAGCACACATTGCCAAGACTAATCAAACTGTTGTTAGTCGAACCACAGGAGAAAATATTTCATTGAAATCAATACCTTCTTTTTGAGCATATCCTTTGACCACCAGTCTTGCACGATACCTCTCAACTTGATCGTCACCAATTCGTTTGATTTTGAAAACCCATTTGTTACCAATTGGCTTACTTCCTTGTGGTAGTGACACAAGGTCTCATGTATTATTTTTATAAAGGGCTTCAATTTCTTCTTGCATCGCCATCATCCACAGTGAAACATCTAAACTATTTATTTCCTCCTGGTATGTTGATGGCTCGCCGTCCTCTGTTAAAAGTTAGTATGCAATATTTCCTTCTATAACATAATCTGAGTGCCAATTGGGACGTCTTCTCACACGATATGATTGACGAGTTATTGGAGCTTCAGAACTCTCTGGTTCTTGTTCATCATGTGTTAGTTCTGTTTCTGAAGAATCTCCTTGTTCAAACTCCTTTTCCACATGTATCTGAGTAGTCTCTGACTTTTCAGCGCTATCATCATCTTTTTTTCTTTATAGTTTATCTTCTACAAAGATAACATCCTTGCTGATGATTATTTTGCGGGAAATGGGATCCCACAAGCGATACCCCTTTACACCATCAGCATACCCCAAGATTTTTCATTTCCAGGATTTTGGATCCATCTTTGAAATTTCGTGGGAGTTGTACATCACGTACACAATACTTCCAAATACATAGAGGTTTGAATAATCAGCTGGTTTACCAGTCCACATCTCTATTGGTGTCTTCAGCTCTATTACCGTTGATGGAGCTCGATTCACCAAATAACAGGCGGTATTGATTGCTTCTGCCCAGAATGATTTTTCTAGGCCTGCATCCCTCAACATTTCTCTTGTTCTTTCTAACAAGGTTTTGTTCATCCTCTCTGCCACTCTATCTTATTTCCAGAATCAAGTTCCACCCGCGCTTTGAAGTTTTTGAAAGTTGAAAACACGTCTGACTTCTTCTTAATAGGGTACACCCAACATCTCCTGGAGTAATCATCAATAAATGACACAAAATATTTTACTCTGCCTAGGGATGTAATTGGTGCTTGTCATACGTCAAAGTGAACCAATTCTAGAACACTTTTGCCTCTAGAATTTGATGTGTTGAATTTCAACCAGTGTTGTTTACTTGTTATGCAATGCTCACACAAAGTAAGTGATATCTTTGTTAAGCCTACAAGTAGTTTTTTCTCCACAAGGATTTTCATTCCTTGTTCTGACATGTGTCCAAGTTTCTGATGTCATAGCATTGCAGAATCTGAACTGCATGAGGCAACAGAGGCTTCTGCTTCTAGCAAAGTCTCTCTCTTCAGCATGTACAAGTTTGCTGCTACTTTTTCGCCTTTCATCACCACAAGCGCTCCACGGAACACCTTCATGATTCATTTCCGTGTTTCAATCTTGCTTGCATTATTATCCAACAATCCGTATGATAATAAATTTTTCTTCAGGCCTTTCACGTGTCGCACATCTCGTATAACTTTGATTGTTCCATCATACATCTTCAATTTGATGGTTCTCACGCCAACGATCTCTAAGGCATGATCATTGCAATTATACACAGATCCTCCTGAGACAGATTCATAATGATGGAACCATTCTCTTCTTGAGGTCATGTGATATGTTGCCCCCGAATCAATGAGTCATATATCTGCATATCTCTTTCTACCTTCCACGGTGGTTGACGTTTCACAGCATAGAGCATCTCCATCATCTGAAGCGTTTATGGTATTGCATTGTGGATTGGAGTTTTTATTTAGACTCCAACAATCCTTCTTCAAGTGACCCTTTTTTCTAAAGTTGTAGCACTTTAAATTCTTCTTGCTTCTCGACTTTGATATACCATGTTTGTGACTGCTGCTTTGGCCACGTTCTGTTGATCTCCCTCTCATCGTTGTCAATGCTTATGCTTGTTGTATATTTACTTGTCTGTCTTCTTTGTTCTTGCGCCGATTTTCTTCTTGTAGAACAGCAGCTGCAACGTCATCAAAGACTAGACTAGTGACATTATTGTTTGTTAAATTGATGATGAGTTGATTGTACAAATCAGGTAGACTTTGAAGTAGAAGTTCAGCACGTTCTTGTTCTCCCATTGTACATCTTAGGGATGTAAGCTGAGAAAATAAAGTGTTCAGCGTGTTTAAGTGCTCCGTCACTAAAGTAGATTCTGGCATCCGGAAAGTGTACAATTTTCTCTTAAGAAAAATTTTATTGTGCAACGATGTGGCCTCGTACAGTTTGGTGAGATGATCTCATATCTCCTTAGCTGTCTTTTTTTCCTCAATGCTTGACAATACTTCATCTGCTAATGCTAGATGAAAGTTTGCCATAGCATTCCCGTCCATTTCAATCCATTTGTTGTTATTTGTGAAATCTACTGGCCTTTCACTGATAGCTGCTAGACAACCGTCTTTCCTCAGGATCCCATTGAATTTTTTAATATCAAATTTCGTTGTCATAGCTTCTATTACGAATAGCTCTCACTATTTCACTATCATGAATAGTTCTCTAGAACCTTCAAAGAATGAGTAATACATTCTTACTTTCTTATGTTGGATGATCCACCTTTTGGTGATAACCACAAAGACAATAAGCAGATATTACACACTCAAATCTGGCTCGGATACCAATTGTTGCGGAAAAATCACAATTGATAATTTGAGAAAATAAAAATAAAGATAAAGAAGACACAAAATTTACATGGAAAACCCCTAAATAATATAGGGTAAAAACCACGGGCAAGGGAGAAGAATTTTACTATGAGAAAATAGGAATTACAACTTCTCTCTTGATAAAAAGGAGAAAACAATACCAATTCTCTCTTGATAAAAAAGAGAAAACAACTCTCAATAAACTCTCTAAATTCTCTGGTATTGGGAGAAAGCTAGAATGATTTGGGATGATTTTGAAACTAAATGGGTTAGGGTATTTTTATTTGAAGTTTAAGAACTAATCTTAAAAATAACCTAAAGTACAATGACTAAATGTGACATTGTACCATTTCCAAAATTCAACTAAAATTTCGGTGCATTAATTATTGGCACTTCCGGTGCCTATATTGCTGACTTTTCAAAACTATAGAATTAGATCATGTTCATCTTATTTTTTTGTTCTTTTCTTTCGAACTAATTGTACGTAAGATTTTCAATTAACTCAAGCTATGTGGAAACCTGTCCTTATAGATTGGATTTTACTGCTTTCAAGAACGATCACTCGGGATGCTTTTAATGGCCAGAGCAGCGAAGAACTCCCATGCGCTAGCGTACTACTCGCTGGCAATCATACAATTCAACGGAATCAGTGGCTTCAAAACCGACGAAAATCCCCGAACCGGGGTAGATTTATGCGTGCAAGCCGCTTCGCTTGGCCACAAGGACGCAATCCTTGAGCTCGACCTTCGCCTGAATGATGCTAACGGCCTGCGCCAATACATAATGGCAGCCCTCTGTCAAGTCATCCGAGCGCTAGAACTCGCGCCAAAATCTTCGGTCAAACGACAAGCTCACCACCGGCACGCGGGCAGTAATGAGCCGGCAGCGGAGAGGCACCCGGTGAACGCGTTTCTGAAAGAATGGTTCGAGTTGAGGACGGGTGAGGGTCTAAGGCCTTGCGCTTGTAAAGGGTGCGGGCGGCCTGAGACTAAGGTGCATGAGTTTGGGAGGTGCAGAGGTTATCGGGCGGAGAGTTATTGCTCTCGTACTTGCCACTGGCTTGATTGGAACTTGAGGCATAAGGTGGAAATTGTATCAATTGCGAGGTTGTTGGCAGAAGACGGTAGACGGTGGTGGTGACGTCGGTGCTGGGGGTTAAGGAAGCTGAAGTGAAGACCCAATTGTTGGATGAGTAGAATCGTAAATGCAAGTTTAATGATTTATGAATTAAATATTATATATAGAATAGCACAAGGAAGAGTAGATTATTATAAATAGTGGGAATATGTGGAGGAAGACAAAAGTATTATATGGAATATTATTTATGGTTTATGAATAAAATAAGAAAAACAAAATCAGCTTTTCATGAGATAATCATAAAAGAATTATAACGATCGAAGTGGCTTACATGCATAAATGAAACACGATTTTCAGTAAAAGGGCTTCAAGAGTCTATAATCAGCTACTGGCCAGTCCACATTTATGTGCACTTCAAAGTCATACAAGTCTTCAACAGGTACTCGGAAATACAAGTCTTTACTCGAAGCTGTTATTCTGTGTTAAAAGGTTAATCTGTCTATTTTTCTCGGGAAACAAACAAGTACCGTGTTTCATTGAAACAAGCTAGGCACCAGGACTTGATGAAACACCGGCAGTCTTGCCAGTTTCATAATAAGGCTTATGAATATGTTCACTAGGCAAGTTTATTGCTATACTCTAGTAATGACCAGATGGTTGCAGAAATAAGCATGTCATTGTTTCTATTTTGTCTTTGGATTCGATGATTAATGTTGTCATAAAAAGAATCACCCATAACCGACAAGAATCCGCGAACTGGGGCTGATTTATGCGTGCAAGCCACTTCGCTTGGCCACAGGGAGGCAGCATTGAGCTTGCCCATCGCCTGAATGACGGTAACGGCCTGCGCCGACACATAATGGCAAGCAATCGTCTACTCATCCGAGTGCTAGCACAAGATCTCGCGCCGTCTTTATGCTTCGGTCAAACGGGGAGCGGAGGGGTAACGTGTTTTTAAGAGAATGGTTCGAGTCTAGGATGGGCGAGGAGGGTCTGAGGCTGTGCGCTCATAAAGGGTGCGTGAGTTCATGAGGGGCAGAGATTTTCGGACGGCGTGTTATTGTTCTTGTATTTGCCTCATGCCTGATTTGAACTTGAGACATAAGATGGATTGTGTGTAAGGTAATCGGTCAGGTTTCAGTTGGATCTTGGTAGGTCGGGTAAAATCAGGTACATATCAACTCAGGTTGATTTGACACCAGATCCATATCAGGTTCAGGTCAGGTCAAATCAGTTCGGGTTATTTTCAAGTTGATTTGACACCAGATCCAGATCGGTTCAGGTCAGGTCATTTTCAGTTCGGATCGATGTCAGTTCAGGTCAAAACAGTTCAGGTCCGAAGCAGATAAAGACCAGGTTAATTCAAGTTCGGGTGGACTTCAGTCGGATCTCGTTCAGATCGGGTCACATTATTGACAGATAAAATTCAGGTCGGATGTTTACCAGATACAGATTGACTTCAGGTCGGGTCATTTTTATTTTTTGATTAATTATTTTGTCATCTTTCGTGATTGTTGAATTGCAAGTTGTAATTGTATATGATTTCGAGTAAATTAAGAGAAAAAATAAATATTCATGGATCAATTTTGTAAAAAATATAAATTTAAAGACAAAATTGAAGAAATGTAAAATTACAAATAAAGTTTTAAAATATAAATTAAACAACACACATAGGTAAGGGACTAAATCAAAATATATTTAAAATGTGAGGTTTAAATTAATATAAAAATGACTAAATTAAACACATTTAAAAAATTATTGGCCAGTTACAAAATATATAACAGCTAACAATGGGCCAAATGAAGATGCAAATATAAATTTAAGGACTAAATTGAATACATATAAAAGTGAAAGACTTAAAATTGAAATAAATTAAAAAACAAAAAAAATATTAAATCGAAATAAATGAAAAATGTGAAGAAATAATGAAAAATATAATAAATTGCATTCATTTAAAAAATTGAAAAAATATAATATATATAATATAAGTTTATATATAAACTATATTTATATTATAAACTATATAATTATTATAAGTTATATATATAAATTATGTTTATATGAACTATATATATAAACTATATATGTAAACTATATATGTATAAACTATAATTTATATTAATATATATATATATACATAAATTATTCAAAGTGAGTGGTGAGAGAAAATTTTTTAAAATAAAGATTTTTTTGTGTGAAATTTTTTTATAGGAAAATTGATAATTTAGAGGGAAATTGAGAAATTTAGAGGGAATATAAAATTTTGGAGGGAAATTGATAATTATATTTTATTTGGAAAGATATTTTGGGTTAATTAGACACATGCTTCTCCAACAATCATTATTTTTCCACTTGTATTTGATTTTTGATTTCTTTCATTTTAGTCATGGTTTAATTGTAAATATCTTCTTGAATTTTCAATTCGATGTAATTTAATCATGTATGCATTCTAATTACTTTTAATTTTCTATATATATATATATGTATATAAACTATATAAACTATATAGTTTATAAATTATATTAATATAGTATATATATGTATGTATAACTAATATAAGTAATCTATAGATTATATATATATATATATATATATATATTATAGAAATATTATGCATAAACTATATAAAGTAATAAATTATATAGTTTATAAAAACCCTAAACTCTAAATTGTGAACCCTAAACCTTTAACCCTAACCCCTAAACTATATATGTAACTTATAGTACATGTAGTTAAACCATGTATAGTATATATAAACTATATAAAGTAAATTACTTATATAGTTTATAGAAATACTATGCATAAACTATATAAAATAATAAAGTATATAGTTTTATAGAAACCTAAACCCTAAACCCTAAACTTTAAACCAAAAATACTAAATCCTAAACCATAAACCCTAATATAAATGGACTAGCACTAATGTATATATATTTGTAATAAAAGAGTGGATTTATGTATTGGCCTATGTAAACTAATGTCTTGCCAAAATTATTTATATTAATAATGTAAAATGTTAATATATTAATAATATAATACATTATTAATATTATTTTTTCTTTATATAAAACTATATAATTTTCTAAATTAAACTATATTAATTTTCCTTTGCATTATTAATCACGTTTTATCTCATTTATATTTAAATAATTTTATATAATAGGTCTATTTATTAATTTAATTATCATAATAAATATTTTATTATAACATTTAAAAAGTAATCATATTTTTTTAATTACATTTAAAAAGTAATCATATTAATTTTTTTCTTTAGGTTTTGTTGGAGATTTAGTGGAAGAATCAAATATTGGGTTTTGGTTTTAGAATTTAAAAGGGTATTTCATTTCAGATTTGAATTGAAAAATGAGAGGGTTTTGAAGTTGGTGGGAAGAGAAGCCGGGAACAGAGCAAATATTTTGTTTTTGATTTCGTTTGTTTTCGATTTGTGGCGGCAAAAGAAGACACAATCATCTGGGAGTAAAAACCATTCTTTTAGTCACCCAACTTTCCATGTGTTTTTTTGTCATTCAAATTTTCTTTTAAAAATATTAGTTTCATCATTCATTTTTTGAAATGGACTAACACTAATACATATATATTTACAATAAAAGAGTGGACTTATGTATTGGGCCTATGTAAACTAATGTTAATGGATTAACACTATTATAAATAGACTTATTTTTGGGTTTTATTATTACTTATTCATAACAACAAAATAAATGAGCTATTAATGTGAATTAACATAACATACAATTAAAATACTAATTATGCAAATGAAATTAATATGACATGTACTACTATTTATGAACCATATAACATGCAATGTGACATACTAATTATTTAACACCTAATTAATCATGTTTTATATAATTTACATTTAAATAATTTTATTAATTTTATTAAATAATTTTATATAATATGTATGTATAAACCATGTATAATATATATAAACTATATATATATATATATATAAACTATATAAACTATATAAAGTATATTACTTATATAGTTTATAGAAACCCTAAATCATAAACCCTAAATCATAAACTTTAAACCATAAACACTAAATACTAAACCATAAACCCTAATGTAAATGACTAACACTAATGCATATATATTTGTAATAAAAGAGTGAGTTTATGTATTGGGCCTGTGTAAACTATTACAAATAGACTAGCATTATTGCAAATGGACTTATTTTTTAGTTTTATTATTACTTATTCATAATAACAAAATAAATGGACTATTAATGTGAATTAACCTAACATGCAACTAAAATACTAATCATGCAAATAAAATTAATATGACATGTACTACTATTTATGAACCATATAATATGCAATGTGACATACTAATTATTTAACACCTAATTAATCATGTTTTATATAATTTACATTTAAATAATTTTATTAAATAATTTTATATAATATGTATGTATAAACCATGTATAGTATATATAAACTAAATATATGTATAGTATATATATATATATATATATATATATATATAAACTATATAAAATAAATTACTTATATAATTTATAGAAATACTATGCATAAACTATATAAAGTAATAAAGTTTATAATTTAAAGAAATCCTAAACCCTAAACTTTAAACCATAAACACTAAACACTAAACCATAAACCATAATATAAATAGACTAGCACTAATACATATATATTTATAATAAAATAGTGAGCTTATGTATTGGGCCTATGTAAACTAATGTATTGCCAAAATTATTTATATTAATAATGTAAAACGTTAATATATATTACATAATAAATACTTTCATTATTAATATTTTCCTTTGCATTATTAATCATGTTTTAACTAATTTACATTTAAATAATTTTATTAATTTTATTAAATAATTTTATATAATAGGTCTATTTATTAATTTAATTATCATAATAAATATTTTATTATAACATTTAAAATGTAATCATATTAATTTTTAATTACATCATAAACTAAAAAAACTCATAATTTTATTAAAATCTTATAATTTCGTCCATGGTAATATATAAGTCAGGTAAATATCAGATCAGGTCATTAACAAG